AAAATTAATTTTTTGTGCGTTGTCGGCACTTCCGGTCAAACCGGAAGTATAAAAAAATGGCTTATTTTTGCATTAATCAACATAGCTTTAGAGGATTCAAAGCATTTTTAAGCGTTATTTCTCATTTTTGTTAAAAATGAAAGCTACTTCCGGTCAAACAGGACGGAAGACCTACTCGTTGCTTTGCAACGAGCTTTGCTCTAGTTGTAACCTCTATCTTCTTATGATTCAGGAATTCGGTCTACAAATTTTATCTTATTCCTTAAAACAACATATGAATCGTATGTATCAGAATATAGACATGCAAAACAAAAGAAATGATTTCTCTAATTTGTTTCCCCTCTGTTGGTTTATTCCAAATTTTAATGGACTAGTCCAATCACCACAAACGATCGACGCAGTTCAACCAGATTCCAGACGATTTTACGAAAGAAATTACCTGTGCGAAATCTTGGATTTCTTTTCCACAAAGGCCTAAATGTTGGTTTTACCTATTTCGTTCTCAAAAAATTATAGTACCCACCTTTCAGAAAAAAAGATCAATGAACACAAACTACTACTGTTTACTTCATTGGCGAAAATAGCTTCCTACAATTATGTATTTAGTTATATCCATTCTCTAAAAAGTTCACAATGAATGATTTGACAACAGATTTCAGAATAGGTGTAGCTTTAAATTTAGATCAAGGGGTAGATCAATCTACTTGCAGAAAAGTCAATCGCATCATCTCGGGTCTTTTCGTCAGAGGTCGAAAAGCAAACTCGAATGTATCGACATCATCGGATGTTAAAAGTTTCTACATTTCCTGTTCATAGTAAAAACGGAGTTAGAAGTCCCTTCTATAGTATATTTTAGATAATATCATTACATTGAATAAAGTTAACTCCATATTCCACAGATAATAGGTTTATATACATCACCCATGCTTTTATTTTTGTGAAGTTTGTGAAAGGGGGGGGGGGTGTCATGGCGTATAAATTAACAATACATTTGTGGTCTTCTTCCCTAGATAAGGCCCGAGGAGTGGGACCGGGGAGTTGCGATTGGCAGAAAACCCACACATTAACCATTCTGTTAACAACTCTTCAGAATGCAGGAAAGGCATCGTTCTTCTACACGTTAAATAATTAAATATTTTTACAAGGTTCTCAAATAAAAAGACATATTTCAAACACAAAAAAAGTATTGCTCAAAAGGTTTATCACTTCTCTTACAGATATTGATTGATTAAGTCAGGCAAGCTTTTTGGAAAGCTGTTACTTGTATGAGAGAAAGGTATGCCACTCCGGTTTGTTTACTTTGTACCCCCACTGGTACTTAGTTAATCGCAACCACAGGCACCTGACGCGTTACTTATTTTCAGTGTCGTAGCAAGGCCACTTTTGGTGTGGACGCAGGAGTAGGCAGGGGGTTTGGGGGCCTAATGTCCCCTATGGGACCGTGGTTAAGCCCTGGTCAGGATCCAGAGGGCGATGCCCCCGACAGCTTTTGAATTTCGATGAGCATGTTCGACCCTCCTGATCGCATTTTTCTTACACTTTTAAGTTTGTTACGCACCCATGTTTTCGAGGTCTTTTTTTGTACAAAATATGGACAAACACTCTAAAATGAGAAAGGATATGCCCAATACATTGTATTGTTGTTTATGTAATATGAAGAGCCCACTTAAACAATTTTAGACTTTTGAAGAGACAAAATACTTATGATAAAGTAATTGGTTCGAGTGGTACATGTATATAAGAATGTAATGCACTTAGAAAAAAAATCAGCAATACGTAAACCATGATTTCAGAAATAGAGATGTCTACTTTCACATTCTCCCCTAAAACTGATTCTGTTAATTTTCAGTTATTATTTATCGTTTATTAAATTGTTTCTAAACATTTCTTTTATTTTTAAAAGTATTTATTTATTGCAAAATGATTTAAGAGCATAAAAATTTCGCCTGCCTCTCCCTCTCTCCTTTTTTCCCTAAAATGATGTGGAAGTTTTTTCGTACAAACATACGCCTGGTTACGCGCCTGTTTAATAAAAAAAATATATACCCCCTACCTAATAAGGTAGGAGTGTATTATTTTCTTAAAAGAAAAATAAGTAACGTCAGGTGCCCGTGGATTGAAAGAATGAATTTTTCAATAAGTCAGTAATAATGGGGAATAGTAATATTATTGCAATTACGTAAATCATAATGGGTAGTTTCTGAGACATCAGGAGGTAATAGATTTAAGAGATACTCTGGCGCGATACCATATTTCATACATAAACATAATTTTCTCTTTTCCCGTCTATAGGCTAGTGTTTCCCATCCTGTTTCATAATATAGAGACTTACGAGGGGCATATATAAATAGGAAGGCCAGTGACAATATGCGCAGCTTCTAATTCAAATAAGAAAAACAATATTTCTTTTTTCAGTTTGCCGAATTTTAGAATAAAAAATCTTTTTCTCAGGGTGATTATCTTGAGAGACACCCAGAGTAATATTTTTCCACGGTATGTCAAAAGATCATTACCCATGATCTAAGGGTGTCTTCCCACTTAGCCAAAATTCTAAAATTTATACAGGTGACTGGTTTTGGTGGTTTGTTGGGAATGGGGTACAGGTAAGGGGAGGGAGAGAACAAAAGAAATTAATTACAGGTGACCTATTTTTTTTTACGACGTTATATCATATCAATAGAAAAAAAAATGAAAAATTAAAATGACTGCATTTTCAAATACAAATAGATATGCCTATGAAAAAATCTGATAAATATACAATATTATCATTAAAACATTTTTTTCATTATAGGTATTTTAAGAAACCAATTCTTCTTTGATGCATAAGATGCATACTGAAAGTTTTAAAGATTATTGACAAACTTTTCTAACTTACATGAAGTGATATGAACATTTTTCTAAAAATCCTAGTTCTTAAACTATAAACTTAAATTTGTACATTAAGGACTTAATATCAGGTTTGCATGGAAACTTGATGCATTTCCAGTATTAAACTATATGAATCAGATTATATGATATTTTTACAAAATGTAATTGCATAAGTATATGCATAAGTATACAATCACAACCACTTGTTTCTTTATTTCAATTAACCATCAATTGATTTTTCAATACATGTAATTCCTATTTAGTACATTTCTGCAAAGTAAATTTAATTCAATTCCTTTTTTAGCTCACCTGAGCCGAAGGCTCAAGTGAGCTTTTCTGATTACATTTTGTCCGGCGTCCGTCTGTCTGTCTAGCTGTCCGTCTGTCTGTAAACTTTTCACATTTTCGACTTCTTCTCAAGAACCGCTGGGTCACTTTCAACCAAACTTACCACAAAGCATCCTTGGGTGAAGGGGATTCAAGTTTGTTCAAATGAAGGGCCACGTCCTCATTCAAGGGGAGATAATTGGGAATTAATGAAAATTTGGTGGCATGTTTAAAAAATCTTCTTCTCAAGAACCACTGTGCCAGGAAAGATGAAACGTATGGGGAAACATCTTCAGGTAGTGTAGATTCAAGTTTGTTCAAATCATGACCTCCGGGGGTAGCGGGGCCACAATGGCCGACCAAAGTTTTACATAGAAATATATAGGAAAATTCTTTAAAAATCATCAATAATAAACCAATTTCTGCTTTTCCTAGCCACGACTCAGGTATGAAAATCCCAATTTTGGCTCGATGGGAATAAGAAATTCAGAATTTTGGCTAAGTGAGAATAAACCGATCTAAGACGTCAAATCGAAAGAAGTAAAGAAGGGTGTTTTTCGTGCAGCGGCAGAAAGGAATCCTGGGAATGTCGACTTCATTCGTCCAGCGTACGCTTTTGAATAACCAAAGAGTAAAGAGGAGCTAAAGGTGCATTGATAAAATGGGAAAGATACAAAAAGCATTGACAAGGAGAACAGTTGAAGAAATGGGAATACACGAAGAATAAGTAAGGACCCAGAGCAAAGTATGTAATGGGCATGCAAAGAAGTTAGAAGGAAGGTAGGATAAATGTGTGTTCATATATGTAATTTAGAAATATTAATGTTTAAAATATGTACTGTCATACAAATACAGTATTGCGAGTGTTCGTAAAAACGTTGCTGTTTGTTTTAATTGTCTTTTTTTAATCTCTTAGAAGTTTTTTTGAAGTGATTTGGGGAAAATAACTACATTTACTTGATTTTAAGCAGTTAAGCCTCGGGTTATGCTCATTCTGGAAAAGGATATCCTTATCCCCCAATACTATTGCCGAGATTTAGCCATGTTTGACAAATGAACTATTTTTGTTGTAAAAAAAATAATGAGCTCATAAAAGTTCGTCATATTGTTATTAATACTAGTACATAATAATTATAAATGTACATTGTAATTTAATAAAGCAACATATTGCGCTTCCTCCCGGAAATCCGTCTCTTCTGCTCTTAACAGGGTAACGTCGAAACTCCCAGGACTGTAGCTCTCCATTGAGGTATTTTACTATAACTATCAATACTTTCATTTTTTTAAATTCATATTTTCATTAAAAAAATTCTTAGGACAGTATGGTTTTAAGAAATTTTTAATCGTTTAACGATGAACAGCAATTAAACTATGAAAATGTTTTCACAACCTATTTTATCTGCGAATAGCAGGTATACCGATATACAATGTGCCACCAAGGTTCGTCTGTAAAGTCAAGATAAAGTCAATAAATACCATTCATAAACATTTTGCTGACGATATTAGTGCATACTTATATTTTACACTATAACAGAGAATCTTTATCACAGTTGAAAAAGTTCAATCTTAATAGCTGCACTTTGTTAGTGTTCTGGAGACAAACATTTGCTCCCCCTCTCATCATTTTCTCAGTGAAGAAATTAATGGATTATTTTTCTTTCAGTTACAGAAATGTCTTTCTCTGTCGTCTGAAACGAAAATAAATAATCTGCCCCCCCCCCCCCCCCCCCCCCCCCCGATCGAATCAAAATAGTCGTCCCCTTAACGTCGAACAAAAACACTCAGCCCCCCCCCCCCCTCCATGTCTCTTCATTCCATTCAACATGGACAAATGTATAAAATGTCACTTGGACGTCTCCTCCAATAATTCCATTAGAGCGTTGCCGTGACATCGTTCCGGGTAACACCAGCACCCCAGAGTTTTGCCCCTCAGTTCCTCCAGCGAATCGTACAGCGTTCTGCCGTTGTCACGAATTTCCCTGTCAGTTTCTATGTACTCTTTGTATTTACGAACACTTTCTTCTCTCCCACACTGCTTTGATTTAAGGGGGTTCCCCCATTTGCTGCCCTTTGCCCCGGGCACGTAATGTGTCATGTCCCTCCCTATGTACACGTGATCAGGATTCCTCAGCCAATCCTCCAAGTCTTTGTACCCCATTTTCTTCAGACTGAACTTTCTGATGTTTACAACAGATGTCTTTCCTTTCTCTTGATTCATTTGTTGCGCCATCCTTGCTTATCAGAGGAAAGAGATAGAAAGCAGTATTAAACAAACTCTAATGATGAGGATAATTATGGGCAGCGGAAAGGGCAAAAATTACCATAATGAGAAAACAATTATTTTAATTTCAATGACCATAAAAACTTAACAAATGATATACAATGCATCATCAACAGACCTTTTCGCAGAACAAATATACATTAACGCAAAACCAACGACCACGTACGTAACAAACATATATGAATGTAAAACCAACGATCATCTTTGCAGAACAAACGTACATAAAAACACAACAAACGAAAAAAACTTAACAAACGTGCACGGGGTAAATCTAGTCTTCCCGACACCCGGCTCCCGATCGACGGTCCCGGATTTTTTTTTTTTTTTTTTTTTTTTTTGCGATTTCTTTTTTGTCGGTGCACAGAAACTCTTCACACTTCTCAGGCACATTTCTGGGTTAAAAAAAATTCATCAATATATAATCTATTATCTAGAATCTATTATGATAACTTTTAATTACAGTGACATATCATATGACAGGCCCGCAGCAACATTTCCCAAATTTAAGAGTAAGGTCGAAAAAGGGTTATGTAGTATGTATATTAGGAAAAAATTGGTACTGAAAGAAGTTGAATTTAACAGCCCCTCCCCCCCAACACACACACCCTCACTCACACAAACGAAATAGGATTTTCGAGTGTGGGCTATATCATTTTAGTTTCCTTTTTGTTTTTACTTGTCAAGTTTTTAAAATCTTTTTTTCGGCTAGATTGAATTTTTTTCTCTGGTTGGCCCCTCCTTTAAAAAACGATGCTACGTCAATGTATAACAATGCAATACTTTCAATTTGCATGGTTTTACCATAAGTACAATGTTAGATTTAGCTATTTTTATGAAAATTTTGATAAAAATCTTTTTTGAAATCAAATCATTTTGATGTTATGAATTTTTATAGAATTCAAATGTTCATTTTTTATTATTAACACCATCAATTTCTACTGAATTACTAATTCCATCTTTTTGAAAGGAAATATTTTCTCAATAACAATATTTTTAATATCTTTAAACATACATGGACACAGATTTGAAGTTAATTTTATTTCATCTTAAAGTTATTGAAACAAGATTGCCACTTTTTCTAAGTATTAAGAATAAAATTGAAATTTGTGAGAGTGCAAGGATGTGTCAATCAAACCCGTCTAAAAATTTGAAGTTTCAATAACTTTTATATGAAATAAGATTTTTAATATATTTTTGTGTGAAATGCTATTAGAATATATATTAAAGTCGTATTATTATGCAGAAAATATTAACTTCAAATCTGTGTCCATGCACCTTTAATATCTACGACACCTTACGTCTCTCTGTATCGATGTCCGTTTTATAACCGAGTACTACATTTACAGGTGATACTGCTGGTTCAGTAATGAATACGCAAATTGGTTTAATTTTTTTTTTTACATATCATTGAATTTATTTAAAAAGAAAATGTGCCTGAGAAGTTTGAAGAGTTTCTGTGCACCGACAAAAAAGAAATCGCCCAAAAAAAAAAAAAAAAAAAAAAAAAAATCCGGGACCGTCGATCGGGAGCCAGGTGTCGGGAAGACTAGATTTACCCCGTGCACGTTTTTAAGTTTTTTTCGTTTGTTGTGTTTTTATATGTACGTTTGTTCTGCAAAGATGATCGTTGGTTTTACATTCATACAGTGAGGTTGCCAATAACGAATCGCACCCGTTAACGAATCACTTTCAGATGAAGATTCTGTATTTTTCTTATCAAAGTCCAATACTTAGCTTAACCTTCCCTGTCATGCTGAATTATTCTTGCTTTTATCATATATCATGAAATTATTAAATTCAACTCGTTTTATGTCCTAATTTTTAAATAAACATGAACAAGCTTTTTTGTGACGCTGACCAGAAGCGTATATGCAAGCAGACTACTTTCACTTTTCGGTACCGCTCCAATGTGAATCGTACAGTCTAGGTAAACAAATTTGGTGCAGATGTTTAATAAAATTATGTGTCTAAAAGCACTGAAAGCGTCATACAATTTCTAAATCAGAAATTAATAGTATTCGCTTTAAAGTTGGGGGTACTTAGGTTTCCAATAACGAATCACTGTTTCAAGAAATATGAGATGCAGGGATCCTGTCCAAATTATAATTTTTCGTATGCGGTTTTTTGCACACCAGTTACAGTAAAAGAAAAAAAAACAACAACAGAAGATGTCTACAAAAAGCGTACAAACAATAAAGGTGGTTAAAATACACATAAACAAAATCAGCAGTCAAAATCAGTAAGAAGTACAGAGCATGTGGATTCGAGAATGTCTCCCGGTGGTATATGTGCATGTAAGCTAATGTGAAGACATCGACGATAGCCAAATAAAAATCGTCATGATTACCAAACAAAATTAAGATTTAGAAATTTTATTTATTTATCCCTTTGCAATTTAAACTTCCCTACTAAATCATTATTTCCAACAATACCCCGTTTGCAGTTTTCCTATTCCCTAAAAAATTATTTCCAATAATAAATTTTTATTTCTTGTCATGATCAAGATCAAGCTCGTATAATATAAAATGCATATTGCTAACAATACTTTTTCAATTCAACATCAAGCTAAACAAATTATAAACAGAGTATTATGATACCCCCCCCCCCTTTTTTTCAACATATACTAGTTAGTAAACATATGATTTAAATTACATATTGAGAAAATGATATGCAGACTGCAGCCTTTTGCCTATATGGAATATATGCCACCACTGTCTTCACGTAAAAGGGAGAAAGAGCACTATGAAAGCAGCTAGACTGAGGAGAATGAGCTGTCTTAGTCATTTCTATAGAGACGATGGACAGTTGAAGTAGACCCATATAAAGTGAAAGGACAACCTCCAGTATTTAATAAATCGGAATACTGGTATTTAGTCTACTGTGGATATTGGAATGGAGAGATCCAGCAAATGAATCCCAACATCATTATTTGTAAAGTTGTCTCTGCTCATTGGAGGAAATTTAGGTCTTGGGTCTCGACATTTTGAAAATATAATTGTTCCTTTCAGCTTTAGGTATCTCTGAAGCCAGGCTCGTAGGAAGCAATTTCAGTTGGTAGGTAGGGGGGGGGGGGGTGCAGAGCCATACATTTTCAGTTGAGGAGGCACTATCAACCACCAAAATTCCTTGACAATTAATTAATCAAGCATAAAAAGGTCATCTGACGTTGTTGTTGTTTTTTTTTTTGAGGGGGCACAATCATATATCTAGCAATATATTTTCTATCTAAATAGCGACAAAATTATGGGGAGGGGGTGTGGTAGCTCAATGAGTACAATTTTTGAATCAAAAATTAATTCTTCGGCTGTTTGCAGTTCATCATGCACATATAAGTTTTTACGTCCTCTTATACCAACTAGTCATTTGTTTTCCCTATGATTTCATTGCTGTTGTTTTTACATTAATTGTCGGATGCAAACAATTAACTCAAAAAATTCCTAGCTTTTCTACTTTTTTGGGTGGTGGGTGGGGTTTGAAATATTTTAAGGCATAGTAAAACGTTACGTAATAAGGGTATTTTTAAATTTACACGGTCCCGAACCAGAATAATCAGCTTTATGTCACGTGATTCGGTAATGGAGAAAATGATCCGGTAAAGGAGAAAACAATGTTAACACAAGTACAGCGATATTTTTTTATTTAATCAGTGGTTATTGGGGAAATATATATGATGTTATAAGTAAAACATAGTACCACCAAACAATGTTGTAAAATGAATTTAACTCATACTCAGGTACGAAATATCCAAGCAAAGAATGATTGCACTTAGTGTACTAAACGTGGCCCCCGGTAAATTGCGCAAAAATAAGGTGTAGAAAGTAGCCTTATGAAATTAATAAAACAATTCTTCAAGGTCTAGATCGCAACTTTGCAAAATTACAGAAATTAAAAGTGAGTAATATTGAAGAACGAGACTGTGTTTTGTAAGAGGGGTCAATGCAAATCACGAATCTCCATTGTTATTCAAAGTTATTCCGATTTTAAGAGCTGAAATACATAGTGAGCGCATGCTTGCCCAAATTTCTCAAAAGGACAGAAGGTGTAGAACTTTTGGAAATTCAACATATTTAGGGGAGAATTTTGGGCCAGCCTGCGCTCGGGGTAAACTTTTTGAAAAAAGGTACAAAACGCCGACAGTTTTCTTCACTGTTTACGGGTATTTACATGTCATTGACCTCATTGTGACCTGTTTGATATTCCAATTTACCACGTGATTTGTAGACTCAGGTAACATTGTGAAAAAAATCGATAAACCAAGTGGTTGTAGATTCCGTCGAAAGGCGTCCAACTTAGACCGTTACATGTACATTTTCAATCAATCAATATAGAATTATTTCTCTTTTGTCAAGTGTTTTTTTAATATGGTGCTGGAATATTAAATTGGAAAAAAATGTAACGATATTTTATTTTTAGTCCTTGGATTTAAGGGGCACGTTTAGAGGCTCAACGAGTTTCAAAGATTTAGCTCCCATCTTCGAAGTAGCATCATTCCTCAAAGTGTTTTTGATTGTAAAAAATATAAGGACACAGGGTAGAATATGTAGATTGTTTAACACTAGCATGAAATCTTACTGCTACCCCCCCCCCCCCCAAAAAAATCATAAAACAAAAAAAATCGCACATACAATTAATAAAATTGTTTTAGTGATAAAATGTCACCACATGCAGCATCACAAAAAATATTCTGTACACCATTATTTGTGAGAAGTTCGGGGTATTTACTGTACTTTAAAAAGTACGGAGAGAGAGAGAGAGAGAGATGTTTAGAATTGCAATACGGCACTAATCTTTTAAAAAATATAGACGTTTTTCTTAAATAAGATTTTCTCCGTTTTCATATTCAAGTAGGCTCAGTTTATTTAATTTAGTGTTAAATTTCCACCGAGGAACGACCACAAGATGGGGAATCTGGATTTATAGCAGAGACATATAAAACCACGGTCTCTGTTTATAGGGATCATATACATCTCAAAGATCCTCCCCCAGTACCATCTTTCGTAAAAAAAAAAAATGTCGTAATTCTTGAAAAATTCTTTGTGTTAATTTTTCTGTATACAGTTTGTATTTTGTATTAAATTCCAAATGCCATTATAACTGGCTAAATATTACATGTTTTCAATCGATCGATGAAATGCCCCGCCTACACTGAATATTAATGTGACACAATTAAAACCCAACTCGGACAAGCGCAACATTCCGGATTTAACACGAAGTATATGGCTTTTTAAATTACCATTTATAAAACTAAGACGCCGTTTTCAGTGTGAATTTTTGCAAGTAATATACCACAAAGATAACAAAGTATGAGTTAGGTGTAAAATAATTAACATTTGAGTTAATTAGATAAAGTTAGAAGGGTCCGAAAAAGGGGCCACGGCACTATGCTTAAGTGGAAACATTCTTTACTAAGTGATTCGATAACGGCAACCTCACTGTATATGTTTGTTACGTACGTGGTCGTTGGTTTTGCGTTAATGTATATTTGTTCTGCGAAAAGGTCTGTTGATGATGCATTGTATATCATTTGTTAAGTTTTTATGGTCATTGAAATTAAAATAATTGTTTGTTTTCTCATTATGGTAATTTTTGCCCTTTCTGCTGCCCATAGATAATTCAATTTTGGAATAATTATAATTACGTTTTAAAATATTCTAAATCATCCATGTCTAATAAATGTTAAAATCATAGATATTAGACATCAAAAACAATAACTGATTTATTTCCGACTCGGCATTTATAAATATCAGACACAGTTTTTAAAAGTCATTTTTACTGTAGAAACATGGGGATATTTAAGTTCAAATCGGCGAAAATTTGACGTAAAAAAACAAATATCATATAAATCACTTAATCTCCTTTTTTAAAATTTATTATTTTTTTTTTAGCTCATATGCGCTATATAAAGCTATAACAAACATTTATTGACCATGTTCTCGGATAAAATGCATTTTGTCGAACCTGAAATCAAACTGTTTCCCTGCTCAGCCTGGGTCTGACAAAACACATGTCCTCAACTGCTCAACTTGAACAGCTGTCAAACACAGTCAATAAATGTATAGTATTACCATGGTATTTCTAGCATCTTTTATTTGCGATTCGTCATGCAGTTTGAAATCAATCCGCAAACGATTCATTGCGCGAACGTGGGAACATTATCTATGTTCGAATACATTTTAGCAAGTAGAATGGGGGGGGGGGGTTAATTCAAAAGAGAAAAACAATTTCAAACCTGAAAAAAAACTTGACAAGCAACAAAAAAAGTAAGTACTATTTTCTTTTGAGAAGTTGACGACTCGTATTCCCTCTCAAGAGTGTTAAAACGAGCCATCTAATTCCCAATAAATAATAGACAAGTATATAAGCTAGTTTCCCAGCTGTTTCCCGGCCATTTCAGTTAAAGATTGTTTATTTTGCTATTATAGTTTTTGATACATGTATAGATTGTTATATTTTACTCAGAGTTCATTTACCTTATTCGTCAAAACTATCAGTTTCCACTCACACTTTGAATATACAAGATCCATAAAGATAAGTTGTTTTTATTCTCTCCGGTAAGTATTTCACAACCTTAGGAAACGTCAGTTAATTACATCGGGTTAGGTTTACTGAATGTTTAAAAGTCAGATTATATTGAGTGATTATATTCATTTTAGAACCTTCAATATTTTAACGTATAGACGTTCGAAAAGTAATTCATATTATCTTGTAAAATTAAAGCAAGGTACCCGTTAAAAATGATTAATGAGGATTGTTTTTTTAATAGGTCGGGTTTGTCATTCTGTCAGACTCAAAAGTGAAAATAGAAATTGGTCACTAACAACGCCAAATATTGAAGAAAAAAAAGTTACACTCTTTTACCAAACATGACGAACCCTTTTTGGGGACCTTATCTTTCTAACAGACAGTGGGGAACTGTTAGAGAGGATACTAGCTCCGATGGAAACAGGTGAAAAGTATTTTGTTAACACAGGTAAAAAAAAACGTATAACGTTTGAAATTTTAGATAAATAAGATGCTATACTAACACTGAATAGGTCCAGTACAGCTACCACTTTAAGCTTTATTAAGCAACTCAAGAGAAGAAAAAACTTGATTCTTTTCGTAAACAAGAATTTTACTGCTTTTAATCAAAAATCTTACATACAGTGTATAAGTAGATAAAATGTTCTATCGTTGAAATGATAAATGTCATATGGACCCGGTTTAACGGTGAGGGCTAGCCTGAGCCACATGCAGTCAGACCAGTTATTCTAACTAACATCTTAGGTGCATTATGAAAATATATCACTATCCAATTATAGTGTCTCCTTCAAAGCAATCAAATTTAAAGTTCTTCAAGTTCTGTATTGTGGCCCAGCCAACAGTTATTTTCCGAATGAAATTCATGCAGACAGAACTTGTCCTAGTCAACATGAACACTGATTTATAATTATTCAGCATAATTCCAGATTAAGTATGCATGATGACTACTTACTCGATCACAGTGCTTTATGGGCAGAGGTCAAGTGAATTAAGAAGAAAAATTGATTAAAAAAGTTAATTTTTTAAATTAATTGTGGTAAAAAAAAGATATGGGAAGATAATAGTGTACCTAGTATATAAGATAGGTGTTTGTAATGTCTTTGATAGCTGGGAAAGTTTTCCGTTTGAAGATGCCAGGAAGAGGAGTTATAAACATGGAGAAGATGGCATGTTTGGATTCTGTGATTCATCAGGCACTTTAATCACAAGACTGAGTTTATGGAACCACAAGGATGAGTTCCTAAAAGAGAGATTCTTTGGACTATCTGGACCTCAGGTTTTTTCTTTCAACCTTAAATATCTACAAATATTTTTTGTATGCCACCTGAGTTACTCAGGTGATATATTAAAACTGGTATTCGTCTGCCATCATGCACCACATTAATGATTGGATATTTTAACGTCTTATTAACTTTAAGGTCAAATTAACAAAATTGCCTCTCCGACTTAAGATTCCACTCATAGATATTCAACATATTCATTTTAGGAATTGTTTTTCAGCTATCTTTTATGGAGTATTTCACATATACTAATTTACAGGGTAACCATGGTGAAGACATTAAGGAAGTGTTTTATTATTTGGACGGGCTTCCCGATCACTCGTACATGAAAGCCCTATACAGATATCCCCAGAATGAGTTCCCATACGATGAACTCCTACAGATGAACCTGGAGAGAAATGAACAAGAACCAGAGTTTGAACTCACTGATACAGGTATTTTTAACATTTTGAAAAAGATATTTATAATGTATAGCTCCATTTAGCTCACCTGAGCCAAATACTGTTGATGTGAAATGTAAGGAAATTTTTTGAAGGATTGACTATTTCTTGTTTATCAGAATCAGATAGTCTAGACCTGTTTTATGATAAAAGTGTACATGTAATACTGTGGACCATCTTTTATTCGCGTGTGAGAAATATTCGCGAGTTCCGCGACCTACTTTTGCTCGCGAATATTAATTGCCGCGAACCAATAATTAAGGTCTTCCGTCTTCAGCGGAAGACCTTTCTGTTATTCTTAGGTTTCTTTTTCACTTTTATTATTGTTTTTTTTCTTACCGATTTTGTGCACGCGATTTCTCGAAAACGGCTTGATGAATTTTCATGAAACTTTCAGGACTTATGTATCATCACTTGAACCTTATGCATTTTTTTTCTTTTTTGATGACGTCACTTCCGGTCTGAGATATTGCCGATTTTATGAATTTTAAAGGTTCAGGTTGTCCAGAGTTTTTCTGGAAAATGGGTTAAGATAGAAATATGAAACTTTCAGGTATGATAGACCTAGGTCTGTAGATGTGCCTTTCGCATTTTGCTTTTTCCGGAAACGCCGCACGTCGGCGCTCGCTATGGTCCCAAAATAGCCCTATCGTGAATTTCAAAATTTCTAACACGTTTTCTTCCATATCTTTTTACCTTGAAACATTTTGTTAAAACATATAGAACAAAAGAAGTGTGGAATTCCAAGACCTTTCAAATGATATCTCGAAAAAGGGGCTGGCCCTTAAAATTAAGGGCTTAAAGGGGCCAGAAATTTTTAATTGATATCTCAAAAAGTATTGAGAATTTGTAATACGTCAAAGAAGCAAAGTTGTTCAAAATGTCAAGCTTAATCTATTTATGTCGTCAAAATAAGTCCGGCGACGTCACTTCCGGTCAAACAGGAAGTAGTCAAAAACGCTTATTTTTGCCGTTCTTGTCAAGTTTTCGGGTAACATATGTCTCTGGGAGCATAAAAATTAATTTTCCGTCCGTCGTCATCACTTCCGGTTAAACCGGAAGTAGCAAAAATTTTGCATATTTTTGCATTAATTAACATAGCTTTAGAAGATTCAAACCATTTTTAGGCGTTATTTCTCATTTTTGTTAAAAATGAAAGCTACTTCCGGTCAAACAGGACGGAAGACCTACTCGTTGCTTTGCAACGAGCTCGGCTCTAGTTTTGATAATTATTTGTAGAGAATTTTTCTTCGGTCGCGAAAATTAATTGTCGCGGATGGATTTCAGACCGACGCTTCGCGAATAAAAGATGACGCGAATAATAGTTGGTTTACAGTACTTGGGACATGCAGGAAAAATTCCTCAGTACATTAATATAGCAAATTTATGGATATAGCAGATTCCTGGTGAAGCGAGACCGACCGCGGGTTTCCGACGATGATTCCTGGCAACTGATTTGTTTCCCAATAAATTAAAAAATAAATAATTGATATTGATCTCACATTTAAAATGTTGATCGAACTGTACCATAAAATACTTTTGTGTAGGTATATTTGATGACAATGAGTACTTTGATGTTATGGTGGAGTATGGGAAAGATCCTGAGAATGAGAGAAATCTTGTTTGTTGTTACACAATCACAAACCATTCTGACCAATCAGCAGAGCTCACTGTTCTCCCTCAGTTCCTTTGTAAAGATTATCATCCGTAAGTTTGTTTGTAAATAAAAGTCATAAATTTTTTGTTATATATTAAATGAATATTTCTTCTTTGAAACTCTTTCTTGAAAATTAAAACTGACAGCATGAAAAGGGGAAAAACTTTAAAATTTTATTGAAATTTAAAACAATTTACAACTTTTGACTTGAGTTGGAGATTTCTTCTTGACCTTGGCATAAGGAAGCATAAAGGTCAAATATAACACAAGTGTAGACTCCTATAGTGCTTCTGTATGGGGGGGGGCATGAATATAGCTCAGAGCATATTGTTACATTTTACAAAGTGTACCTGTGAAATTCGGGTTAATTCTTGTTTACAAGTTTGGAATATATGGAACTTGAACCCGATGTTTATAAACTCCGTAAATAATTGTCAATGAACAGTTAACGAAAGAAATGAACAATAATTGATTTAATGACTTTATTAATTTAACATGTATAATTTAATGAGAAAGTGATGTATTTTGTATGTTTTATATGGGTACAACGTTATTAATTTAGTAGGTAATTTTGTTGGTTAAAACCCGCTAACTTATTGATTGTATTGATTGTGACGTAATTTAGATATCTGATTGTCTCTTACGTCATCATAACAACTTTTGGCTATATAAACCAGCTGTTTTGGGTTTAGACTTCAGTCGGCTGTGGGGAGCGACTCGGAGCACACAGCCTTCCCTGGTTTGGGAACGACTCCGTATACTTCGGTTATAAGACGGTACCAAGTCTATGTATACGAAACCATTAAGGAGACCAAGTTAGTAGGAACGTCCTGTATTGACCATCGGTTGGTCACCTTTTTGTTAACCAAATAACGTTGTACCAACCAAGTTACAGTGTACCATTTTGTGTGTTTATAAGTGGACCATTTGATCGTCTTAATAAATGTTATAAACTTTTAACAAGTGTTATTCCTAAGAAACATTATTTTAAGTGACCAAAAGTTGGTCATTACGTCTACCAAAGAAGGGACCAAAAGTTGGTCATTACATCAACCAAATAAGTGACCAAAAGTTGGTCACTACGTCAACCAAATAAGTGACCAAAAGTTGGTCATTACGTCTACCAATCAAGTGACCAAAAATTGGTTATTAACCATTATATAAACTGTGACCAACGGAACCATCAAACCTCGACCAAGTGACCAGAAAACCAATAGCGGCCCACGAGTTTATTACACGATACCCTCGGTCTCGTTACAATATATAGTGTTTGAATTGTTTGTCTTTCATCTTTCAGTCCTTCCTTCCATTTTTCTGTTTGACCATTCTTCCATCCATCTATCCATCATAACACTTTGCATTTAGTGCAGTTATTGAAAAAAAAAATCAAAGCTTTTATTTTATCAAACTTTATTTGTTGATATATGTTGTTGAAGGCTATTCAACTTGACCTGCATTTCACCCTACTTTTTTGTATTTAGCTCAGTTTCAAAGAAATTGTTCAAGATATTTTTTTATCAATTTTCATATGCTGATACATATAGGTGAGGACTGTTCAAATGCCTAAAAAATTATCTTCACCTTCACCCTCCCTTTGACCTTCACCTCACTTTTTTAAACATGCACTTAGCTCAAGTTGAAGAAACTACCTGGTATTCAAAATTACATGTTTTTCTTCATACGTAGGTACATATTGGTGAGAGTTATTCAAATTCATCAGTATTTTTGGTCTTGACCTTCTTTATGACCTGGATCTTCCTTTACTTAGATTTATGTAAGCTCTGCAATTTCAAAGAATCTAGACTTTAATAAGATAATGAATTGCTTATTTTTCCAGGATTTCATTGGCCCAGGATGGCAAAACAGTTAGAGTGGATTATTCTAAAGGTATACATGTATGTTTTATGGACCTTAATTAAAATAATTTTACATCCAACTTAATGATTCATTACATTTTGTGGATCATTTGTTATGAAGTTTATGTTCTATAATGAAACATTATACAAAAATCCAATAATTTTATACCTATATATGTATGATGCAGAACTATGAGATTAACAGCAGGTGAGCCTTGGCACCCCTTTTCCTCAAATTCTTATTATTAGCTCACCTGTGCAAAAGGAGGCAAGTAAGCTTTTCAAATAAAAATAGGAGGATCTTAACCTATTCAAGCTGTTTTCCCTCACATTTCCTTCTAATGATTTTTTTTCACAAAATGTTAAATTTAAAATTTAAAATCCACCCAATTATCTTTGTTTGTCTAAGATTTCTTCCTCTATAAAGGTCACTGGTAATCAGATACAGCCTTTGATTCCTCTGTCATCTTAATTTTTATAATGTAAATCTTGAAATTGGAATTTTATTGATACTTGTCCTTAAATGGTACTTGTATAAACATACACTATAAAGTAGGAAACCCAGTGGAGATGAGTTACATTCCATGTGTTTGGATTGCATGTTTTGACTAGGTGATAGATTTTGAAGATCTTTGAAGTCATTTGTACAATAAAAATAAAATATATATTAGGCTTAATTTACTTGTAAACAGGTGAGAAACATATTTGTTATATGTATCTACCACAGAAAAAAATGCATCTTTTATGTTTGAGTTTAAAAAAAAATGCAGATTTGAAATGTGCTGATGATTTATATGTTAATTTTTTTTTTTATTAATTTTGTTATCAGAAAAACAACAGAAAACACATTTTGTGACATACCTATACATGTATTGAACTATTTTGTTCCTCCCTACCCCCAATATATTCAAATTTCCAGTGACCTTTAACTAAAATACTTTATACTTCCCATCAACCTTGTCACAAGTAGTATAATAATTAATGCACACTTGGTTTTAAGGTCTCTCTTTCAACTGTTCTATGTTTTACACTACAGGCTCATAACATGTACATTATTGAAAATAGTTCCATGAATATTTTCAGTCATTCAGTGCCTTTCTTTGATGAATGAATTGCCTATAATCACAGACAAACTTTAAATGAGGAAATTTATTTTTAAGAAGGATACAGAAAGCATCACAATATAATTTATATTAACTAAAGATGCTCTTAGTTAGTTTCATATATTGTGTGTAATTCTATTTTCTGGAGTATGAATATTTGTCATATAAGTAAAAGACCATTTTTCACTATTTTGCAGGAAAATTTGGAATCCGAGTTGACTGTGACCAAGAAGTCTATCAGGATAAGATATTCCTGGGAAAGGGAAAGCAATTTACAGATGTTATTTGCACTGGTAAAGGATTAAAACATCTTTGCATAACATTTTTAAAAAACAGTCCAGTAGAAAATCATCAGATTGGACAATTTTCTTCTGATCAGACATTTTAAACAATTGAATTTACTGAAAGGGACTCCATCTTACTTGATAGGTAAAAATCTAGAATTCACAACCTACCTACCACAGGCCTTTAATTGATTCACTTATATCTGCATGAAGAACGAAATGTTTGAGATGAATAAAAAAAATTTTGTAGGTCAGCAGTGTAATGGCTCTGTGCAACTTATACATCAGATTAATCAGTTTTTTGGCTTGATAGTATGGGGAGAAATGTTGAGTAAGTGGGTTATGCATTTAATGCTGTAAGATTAATTCCCCACCAAAGCATTTTATTGTGTAATGGGAGATGAGGAAAGTGTAGCGGACCAGACTGGGATTCAAACACAGAGGCCCCATAAATGATCTCCAGTCAGGTGCTCTACTGACTGAACTATCCAGCCACTGGTGATCGAGCCCAGCTGACTGCCACATTTATTTGAATTAAACATTATAGAATGCATTTTATAATTGTTTGGTCTATATAGGTAATCAAGAAAAAGATGATCCCAGTAACAATTGCGAAGACATAGAGAAGTTTGGTTGTCAGATGAAAGTTACAGTCAAACCTCATAATTCCACACAAATCTTTTGGTCCATGTTCGAAGAAAGGAAAGAGTCAAAATCCTCACCAAAGGGCATTTTAGACATTTGTAAGAAGAATGCAGAGGAGTTTTATAACCAAGTAAGTAAACTTTTGGATAAAGAAATATATGTACTGTAAAGCATTAATACATGTAGAACAAAGTTAAATAAATGTTTTGCATAAACAATCTTTGATATGTTTTGTTATAGCTCACCTGAGCTGAAAGCTCAATTGAGCTTTTCTGATCACATTTTGTCAAGCGTCTGTCTGGTCATATTTGTATGGAAGCATCCTCAGATATTGATATTCATTTAAGTTCAAATATAAAGGGTAAAAATGTTATGGTTAGTCAAAGAAATATCCAAGCATCCTTAGCTAGTGTAGATTCAAGTTTGTCCAAATCATACCTCCCTCCCCTTTAAGCGTAGGTTGGGACACTTATGGATTTAAACTTTTTTTATACTGAACTGATTTCTGTTTTTTTCCTATAGCCAAAGTGCTCAGGTGAGCGTTGTGCCCCATGGCCTCTTTTCCTTTTTAGCTCACCTGAGCCAAAGGCTCAAGTGAGCTTTTCTGATCACATTTTGTCCGTCGTCCGTCCGTCTGTCTGTCCGTCTGTAAACTTTTCACATTTTCAACTTCTTCTCAAGAACCACTGGGCCAATTTTGACCAAACTTGGTACAAAGCATCCTTGGGTGAAGGGAAATTTAAATTTATTTCGAAAATAAAGGGCCAAGTCCTCTCACAAGGGGAGATAATCAAGAAAAGACAAAAATAGGGTTGGGTCATTAAAAAATCTTCTTCTCAAGAACCACTGGGCCAGGAAAGCTGAAACTTACGTGGAAGCATCCTGGGGTAGTGTAGATTCTAAATTGTAAAAATCATGACCCCCGGGGATAGGGCGGGGCCACAATGGGGAATCAAACTTTTACATAGAAATATATAGGAAAAATCTTTTAAAATCTTCTTCTCAAGAACCACTGGGCCAGAAAAGCTGAAACTTATGTGGAAGCATCCCAGGGTAGTGTAGATTCCAAATTGTTAAAATCATGACCCCCGGGGGATGGGCGGGGCCACAATGGGGAATCAAAGTTTTACATTGAAATATATGGGAAAAATCTTTAAAAATCTTCTTCTCAAGAACCACTGGGCCAGGAAAGCTGAAACTTATGTGGAAGCATCCTGGGGTAGTGTAGATTCTAAATTGTAAAAATTATGACCCCCGGGGATAGGGCGGGGCCACAATGGGGAATCAAAGTTTTACATAGAAATATATAGGAAAAATCTTTTAAAATCTTCTTCTCAAGAACCACTGGGCCAGAAAAGCTGAAACTTATGTGGAAGCATCCTGGGGAAGTGTAAATTCTAAATTGTAAAAATCATGACCCCCGGGGATAGGGCGGGGCCACAATGGGGAATCAAAGTTTTACATAGAAATATATAGGAAAAATCTTTAAGGGGGCTGGGGGGTTGTGGCCATTTTTAGGCTATATTTATCTCCTTTAGAAGAAGAGCTCCATATGAAGATATAGAAATAGATCAAATTTTAAAACTAAATTTTTTAAAATTTTTCTTTGCCAAATGATAGTTGACAGCTTAAGATACTGTATCTAAAAAAATAAGATAAATCTGATGGTTAATTTGTGGTTAATTTGTTGACCCCCCAGCCTCCTTAAAAATCTTCTTCTCAAGAACCACTGGGCCAAAAAAGCTGAAACGTATGTGGAAGCATCCCAGGGTAGTGTAGATTCTAAATTGTTAAAGTCATGACCCCTGGGGGATGGGCAGGGCCATAATGGGGGATCAAAGTTTTACATAGAAATATATAGGAAAAATCTTTGAAAATCTTCTTCTCAAGAACCACTGAGCCAGAAAAGCTGAAACTTATGTTGAAGCATCCAGGGGTAGTGTAGATTCTAAATTGTAAAAATCATGAACCCTGGGGGTTGGGCGGGGCCACAATGGGGAATCAAAGTTTTACATAGAAAAATGTAGGAAAAATTTTTAAAAATCTTCTTCTCAAGAATTACCACTGGGCCAGAAAAGCTGAAACTTATGTGGAAGCATCCCAGGGTAGTGTAGATTCCAAATTGTTAAAGTCATGACCCCTGGGGGATGGGCGGGGCCACAATGGGGAATCAAAGTTTTACATAGAAATATATAGGAAAAATCTTCTTCTCAAGAACCACTGGGCCAGAAAAGCTGAAACTTATGTGGAAGCATCCTGGGATAGTGTAGATTCTAAATTGTTCTAATCATATCACCCCCGGGGCTAGGGTGGGGCCACAATGGGGAATCAAAGTTTTACAATGTTGTATCAAAGCATCCTATGGTAGTGTAGATTTCAAATTGTTTAAATTATGACCAGTTGGGTAGGGTGGGGTCACAATATGTATAACAAGGGGAAATCTGGTAAAGAATGGAATGTTCAAAGCTTCTCAGGTGAGCGATGTGGCCCATGGGCCTCTTGTTCTTTTTTGTCCCATTATTGCACAAATCGATAAAATTCTCACTCTGAAACTTGTAAATCTGTAAATGATATGACTCATGTTTCAAAGAAAAAATTTTCAATTACAAGTTTTAAGTACAAATTCTTGATGTTTTTTTTTCTCTTATTAGCTTTTACAGAATTTTTCACCAGAACAAAAATTAGTGGCAAGACAAGCATTTGCTGGACTTCTGTGGAACAAGCAGTTGTATTGTTATGATGTTGGGAGTTGGCGAAAAAATCTTGATGAGTATCATCTAAACCAATATCGCTGGCTTTTTCCTCATGGCGGCAGCTTTACTATGGAGGATGTAAAAATTCTAATGGAATCCCCATGTTGTGATTTAATGAAGGAAAAGGAGTATAAAGGCTTTGTTGCTAAACATAAATTCAAAATACTGAAGCAAGAGTTGGCAGAGAAAAGTGAAAGTAAGAAATATGACACATCATGTATTCTAATTTTTTTTTTGAAAGAATGCATTTGTGTGTGTGTGTGGGGGGGGGATGCATGACAATTGTGTGGATTTTTAGCTCACCTTAGCTGGAGGCTCAAGTGAGCTTCTCCGATCACATTTTGTCCGGCGTTTGTCTGTCTAGCTGTCCGTCTGTCTGTCTGTAAACTTTTCACATTTTCGACTTCTTCTCAAGAACAGCTCGGCCAATTTCAACCAGACTTGCCACAAAGCATCCTTGGGTGAAGGAGATTTAAGTTTGTTTAAATGAAGGGCCACGCCTTCAATCAAGGGGAGATAATTGGGAATTAATGAAAATTTGGTGGTATGTTTTAAAAATCTTCTTCTCAAGAACCACTGTGCCAGGAAAGATGAAACTTATGGAGAAACATCCTCAGGTAGTGTAAATTCAATTTTGTTCAAATCATGACCCCCGGGGGTAAGTGGGGCAACAATGGCCAACCAAAGTTAAACAAAAATATATTGGAAAATTCTTTAAAAATCTTCTTCTCATGAATGACAAAGCCATAATTCATCATATTTACCTGGAAGCATCCTCAGGTAGTGTAGATTCAAATTTGTTCAAATCATGACCCCCTGGGGTAGGGCAGGGCCAAAATGGCCAACCAAAGTTTTACATAGAAATATATAGGAAAATTCTTTAAAAATCTTCTTCTCAAGATTAACAAAACCATAATTGATCATATTAATATGGAAGCATCCTCAGGTAGTGTAGATTCAAGTTTGTTCAAATCATGACCCCCAGGGGTAGGGCGGGGCAACAATGGCCAACCAAAGTTTTACATAGAAATATTTAGGAAAATTCTTTAAAAATCTTCTTCTCAAGAATAGCAAAGCCATAATTGATCATATTTATATGGAAGCACCCTCAGGTGGTGTAGATTCAAGTTTGTTCAAATCATGACCCCCGGGGGTAGGGCAGAGCCACAATGGCCAATCAAAGTTTTACATAGACATATATAAGAAAATTCTTTAAAAATCATCTTCTCAAGAATAGCAAAGCCATGATTGGTCATGGGACTACTTTTGGATTTAAACTTTTCAATAATAAACCAATTTCTACTTTTTCCTAGCCACAGTGCTCAGGTGAGCTATGTGGCCCATGGGCCTCTCGTTTAAAATAGAAATACAAGTCCACATTGTTATAAATCTCTATTTATAACCAAGTCTTAATGTAAAACTTGATATTAATTATTATGTTAATAGAAAATTATTTTCTTTAGAGTGCATTTCTTTATTTTCCTGAGAGATTTTTTAAATTATCTCCCTTTATTCTCTCAATCATCTCTATCATTTGCTTATTTTAGATAAGAAAATAAACTGGGATGTTCTGTGTCGCAACAAAGACTGGACTCATCTATCCAGCTATGACGTGTTAGCTGTTCCAGACAAGTGGGAATTCCCTTGGGTATGTCTTTACAGAACTTTTTAATACAGCTTGTGCTATACAACCTTAGAGATGGTCTAAGGATAAATAAAAAAATAAGATGATTGCTTATAAAATCACCATGGAATCATTGATATTTGTGAGGGAGCAATTTTCAAGAATTTTGTGGGTCTGTTTTATCCATGAATTTATACGCTCAGGAACAATCATTTTGTTAACATATTTATTTGCTTGCCCATGAACGTTGACTCCCCACAATTAAAACAAGAAAACATTGATGTAACCAGCAATTGTCGCCCGGGAAATATATAAAGTAAACAATGAAAATGAGTCTTGATCATCAAACCGCTTCGATATGTGTTAAAAGGCATGCGTCTAATTAATGGAGACGATAGTCGCGAATATTTTGAAAACTTGTAGTCGGATAAAAATCAATCAAAAACGATACCATTTTAAACTTGAATAATTCCTCGAGTAAATATTGGCTGCATAAAATATAAATTGAAGTTAGACACACGCATCACCTATATTTAAAAATGTATTACTTTTCAATTTTAGAATGTAAAACACGAACTGTACAGAGTACGTTTTTATCCGAGAAGTAAAATTCGATGTTCTAAAAAAAAAAGGACCTGTCGTTTTTTCGATAGTAAATGAAAAGCAATTTTATATATTAAATATGAAAAACATATATTTTTACATTTTCACTTTATGGAAGAAAATATATTAAGTATCATGTAATTTATAAACGGAAAGAACATTCGATTAACAATCTTTTTAATGTTTAGAAAACCTTTAATTCTAAATAACTACTCCCACCCCAATCCCCATATACCAACACTTAAACTTATATGTATAGAGCAGCCCGGTCCTCCGGGCTGCAACGATCCCATAGTATAAGTCAAAAGTTAATGAAATGTGGGTTCAGTATGTACATAAAAATTCTTGTACACCAAAAAGTATTCAACACAGTACTAGCAAAGTAATTCAGTGGTGCAGCAGTAAAATTTCATATTTTACTTTTTTTTCTAGTTTGCCACTTGGGATACAGCTTTTCAGATGGTGCCGTATGCCAGACTAGATCCAGGATTTGCCAAAAATCAACTCCTGTTATTTCTGAGTGAGAAATTTATGAAGGACGATGGACAGGTGAATTGTTTGTTATCTCAAATAAATATCTTTGTATTTTTATCCATTTTTGTTATGTATCTCAATACTGTAAACTAACTTTTATTCATGTGTGAGAAGTATTTGTGAGCTTCACGACCTCTAATTCACAAATTTTTATCTCCGCGAAGGAACCCCTATCTCAGTCATGAAAATTAAACATCACAAAATGATTTCAAACGACGCATCGCAAATAAAAGTTGACGCAAAGAATTGTATACAGTTATTTGCTTGTTCTATTCAGATGCCAGGCTGTGAGTGGGATATGGACATACCCTTCCCACCAGTGTATGCTTGGTCGTGTTACCATGTGTTCTCCAGAACTGGGCATGCAGACAAAGAATTCTTAAAGCAAAGTTTCCAGAAATTACAGCTGAATTATCAGTGGTATTTTCAAATTATTCAATTTGCCTGTCACTCTGAGAAGTAAAGTGTTAAGATCACCTGTCTCCCAAAGGGCTTAGATGCTTAAGCCCCACCCCACCCCACCCCTATTTTTTTTTTTAGCTCAAATTAGGTAATAGCTCAAGTGAGCTTTTTCTCTTCTTTTTTTATCAAATTTTGTTCATTGTGTGTCATTGTCTTTGTAAACTTTTTACAATTTCATCTTCTTTTCCAGAATCGCTTGGTCAATTTGAACCAAACTTGACACAGCGTATTCTTGCATGAATGGAATTCCAATTTTTTTTTCTCAGATAATAGCCATATCCTCAATCAATTGATGGAAAATAAAAAGTACCGGGTAAAATAATATACTTCTATTTTAGGTGGCTCAAGTCGATGCACTTTAGAAACAACAGATATCTCTTTACTGGCGGGTTCCTGGGACTGGACAACATCAGTATTGTAGACAGGTCATACCACCTTAAGCAGGGCTATCCACTGATACAGGTACACATACCATCATTTCTTGTTCTGTATAGTTTGTGGATGTGTAATTCTGGGAACAAATAGTCTTATTGAAGAAAAAATTGATGATTTGAAAATGATTTTCTAATTTGACTAAATTAATTGAATTTTTTGAAAAGTGTCTAAAATATTGATATTTCAAAAACCATAAATATGTCAAAGTGATTTGGAAGTTCCATTCACTTTTTTTTTTAGCTAGCCTAAGTTGAAAGCTCAAGTGAGCTTTTTTGATCACCCTTTGTCCATCCGTCTGTCTGTAAACTTTTCACTAATTTTCAACTTCTCAAGAATCATTGGGCCAATTTTACCCAAACTTGTAACAAAACATCCTTGGGAAAAGTTGGTATAAAGAAAAGCATGGCTAAAGTTACTCAGATGAGCATTGTGGCCCATGAACCTCTCGTCTTATGCGTTTTTTTTACCTCAGTATTACAAATACTCAGATGCCTCAAAGTTTGAGATGACGTGGTTTGACTGTATTTGATTGTAGGCAGATGCCACGGGCTGGATGGCCTTCTTCTCTCTCTCCATGTTTGAAATAGCCCTGACACTGTCTGCAGAACCTGGGGCGGATCACAAGTTTTACAGGGCATGTGTCAATTATCTCGACAAATTCATATCAATTGCAGAAGCCATGAACAGAAGCATCAGTGATGGAGGTATGACTTGAAATAAATACAATACATTTTAGAAAGAATACTAATGGTAGGGTCAAAGGTAATATCTGGCATGTTCTTATTTGAGGATTAATTTATGCCCTGTCTTGCAGAGGGATTTTTTAGGCATGTATGTCCCTCCATCTGATATCACTTGTCCAGACATGTTTCACTCCACTTGGCTCAATTTAGCTTAAAAAATCTATTATTTAAGTTGTTGCTCAGGGCATTCCGCCACCCATTCCGAATACCTTCATCAATAGAAAGCCTGAAGGTAAAGAATTTTCAGTGAAATAAGTTTTTAGGGCAGAGATCAAGATATAAAATGTATAGAATGCTAACAGTTAAGGGACCATCTCACAAAGAATTGAAACCATTAAAATTCATGAGCACTGGGGTACATTTATACAAGTCATGTTTATATATAAGTACATGTACATGTATGTTAACTTTTAATCATGGTGAGATAAATCTCCTTCATAGTGTTGGCAACGAGTACCCGGTTAACCGTCGAACGATGCGAGTATCGGTTAGTAAAATTGCTACTCGGTTACTCGGATAAAATGCATCTTATATGGTAAATAACTAAAAAATAAAATGTTTATTTGTTTATAAGCGTACAAATAAACATTTCTCTATTTGTCTTTACCATTAGACTTAATGATCTATGGTTTCACTAATACGATTGATTGATTTTCACACTTAATTGATAGCTTAATTGGATTACCAGCAGGTTATACAAGTTTTGAAGACCCAAGTTATAATTACCTCATTAAATAATTTAAAAAGATGCCGCCAAAGACATGTATAGCTTGGAAGTATTTTTAAAGAACAGCTGATTCTATACCTGTAAAATGTAATTAATGTGAATTGGAGTTATCGTGACTTCAAATTTCTAAATAATTATTCTCTTTGATCGTGACATATATCGGGGGTTGAAAAGTTAAACTGATGAACGCCATTGTAAAATAGCGTGAAACATTGAATATTTATTTTTCTTCTGATTTAATTAATTTTTTGATTATAATTATATTCAAAATTCAAGATATTGCATGCATGTTCTTTTTAAGTTTATAAATAAAGCTAATTCACAATACCTTTGTGTTTTATTAGAACCGATGAGTAAAAGATGAGATATTAAATGATACATATGAACAAATCATCCGAGTAACCGGATACTCGATCGGAAGATTGAGTGAGTAACCGGTTACTAAAAATCGTCCGATTTACCAACACTACTCCTTCAGGATTGCAGATGATTATTTAATACTTCCAGGTTTATGGAATCCCCATGACAAATTCTACTATGATGTCATAGAAACAGAATCAGGGGACAGAACTCCTGTTGCCCTGCGTTCTTTAGTCGGCATTATTCCAGCACTGGCCTGTCTGAACATCAAAATGTCTTCTCTGAAAAACAAACCAGGGAAGAAGATACTGGAAAAGCTGGAGAATCTGATGGAAAAGAAATCACCTTTTGTAAGAGATCATCTGTGATTTTTTTTCAAAAAAGCTCAATTTACATACACCTCTTTATCAGTTTGATTTTATGAAAGAACAAATGTATGTGGTAAAACTCTGTTTCTGAAAACACCTGGGACCCTATTCACAAAGCCTCCATAAAGTTTTTCATTCTACTTTATTGTCAGTCCATAAAGGTTTTCAGGTATTGAAATTTAACCATACTTACCATTACTTATCTTTTGTTTTTATTTCCTATTTGTAGATAGACAGAAATGAGGATGGGGACTTTCTCCTCTGTGCAGTGCCCAAGGCCAGATTTCACAACATTCTGAAACACCTCACGGATGAGGAAGAGTTTCTCTCTCCATTTGGAATAAGATCTTTGTCAAAGGTAAATTACCACATAAGCAAAATTTTTTGCAAGAGATTACTGTAAATGTATTATATTTAGAGTGGTGGAAATGGATTTCTGAACAAGTTTGTGCAATTTGATTTAGCCCATTTCTCAATGTTGTTATTTATGTATACATGTGCAAGACATTTAGCGTTGTACTTGAATTAGTTGAATTTTCTCTCCCCTGAAAGTGCGAAAAAGAATACTCACCCATACCAAAAAAAGGTACAGATTAGGCATGCCTATTCTTGATAAATATAGGCACAAAAAAGGTATACCTAAAGTATACAAGTTTGGAACCACTTCTTCAAGTATAGGTAGCAAATTGGTACAAAAAAGGCATACTAAAGGTATACTTTTCAATGATTCATTTTTTTCTATTTCACATATAGGTACATTTTAGGCACACATAAAACATTCGATTGAGCAGTGAGGCATACCTAAAGTATGCCTATACATAGTATGGCATATAATTCTAACAGTCAGATAGGTACATTTTAGGTATACCTAAAAGGTGCCTACATATCAATCTATTAGGTACCTTCAAGGCTGTGCCAAAAGTATGCCAGAGGTATACCAAAAGTGTACCTACAAGGTACCTATATTGTACCAAAAGCATTAATAGGCACATTTTAGGTACTAAAAAAGCACAATATTGGCACACCATCTAACTAGACCAGTAGGTACATTCCAGGCATACCTAAAAAGTGCCCACATATCAATCTATTAGGTACCTTCAAGGCTGTGCCAAAAATATGCCAGAGGTATACCAAAAGTATACCTACAAGGTACCTATATTGTACCAAAATCATTAATAGGCACATTTTAGGTACTAAAAAAAAGCACAATATTGGCACACCGCATAACTAAACAAAAAGGTACATTTTAGGCATATCAAAAAATGGGCTTTTGTCGACAAATCAACCACAAAACCCTGGAGTTAAAAATTTCTTTCTCCAACAAAAATTTTTAAATTTTTGGCCTAACATGAAAAATACATACTTATCATTCCTTGTGAATGGGGCAGGACTATATTAAGGAAGAATTTAACAATTATTATCAGGTTCAAGTAAAAACAAGTAAAAATTTATTATATGATGCTACATGAAAATATATATGAAAAATAACTATTTTAAATCCGAGCTCTAAAAACGGAATCTATATATGACAAATCTCCTATATTTAAAAAAAATTAATATTGTTACCTTTAACAAAATAATGATATTTGTAATATCATTCTTTGCAAGAAAAAAATAAACACACCTTTTCAGCATATACAAAACATAATTAATGCAATGTAAATACACAAAGACACCGTAAAGGTATTGAAAGTATACTCCATTTCATGTCCTTTTTTTGGCCACACATTATTCACTTGCTGCATGTGCAATTCATGTAATCTTCATTACTTTCATAGAGTTTTTACCCAATTGGCACCACAGAATTTTCTGCACAGTAATAGACCTTTTACCAGGGTAAATACTCATTTCTGTACAGTTGCGATTTTCATCTGGACTCCTTATAAAAATTGATCCTCCATTTGAATGTACCACGCAATTCCTTCTTTCATGCCATTCCCTTCAATTCTGAAAAAGTTGTTGCTCTTGAGTCTTCACTTTGAAATTATTTTCAAAAATATTAAATCCAATGTGTGAATCTATAGGGAAGGGGTCCAGGGAGTCTGGAACTTCCTTCCTACTTGCATTATGTATATATTATGTAATTAAATGTATATATATACTTAATCAATTAAAAGTGATTTGGACACTCCCCCCCCCCTTTACCCTGTTACGATCTGCATCTAAAATTCCTAAAATTTACAATGGAGTTTGAAAAGTGGTGATTAATTTTACTATATTACTATATTTATATTTTTTTTCAAAATCAGATTAGATTTCATACTTACTGACAGAGTTAAAGTCTTTATGCATTTCCCCCAAGTTTACAATGACTACAGGGGACAAGAATTTTGCTGAAAAAGAAAGTTTGTTCATGAAATTATCTGACATTATTATTAACAAAGTTTACACTAATTTGTATACATAATATTTTTTAAATATAATACTGAAACATTGTCACTCTTAAATAAATTATGTGTGTCATACCCCCCCCCCCCCTCATTTTCCCTGGCATGAACCAAGTGGAGAGATGGGGTTTAAATGATTTTATGTAAACTTATAACATAAATTCAAATCAGTTAATTTTGTTATACTATGTTTTATAAATGCTGTAATTTTGATACTTTAAATTAAAACTATTACATGTAAGAACCCCCCCCCCCTTTTTTTAAATAGTGCCTTTACTTTATATTTCAAATTTAATATGCCAATGATTAAATTTTCACACTGATCATTTGAATTTCTGTTTGTTATTATCGCCATGCTCATGCAGAGGCTACTGTACATAACCTGTTCCCGCGATATTGACACGTTAATTACTGGTATTATTTTTTTTAAAAGACTCTGAAACTGTGAAACACTTTTTATGTCTAGTTACACATCAGGTTAAACAAAATAATTATTATTTATATGTCTTCTATTCATGTGTAGGCTGTAGCACTGGCTACACGGCCATCTTGAATCAAAACAAACCAAAAATCTACGGTACAATTACCTAGAACTTCGTAAAATTTACACTTGATATTCACATTCTAATGCATTCTTTACGTGCACAAATACACTAACAACAAGCAGCATGAAAATAAAGACTTACCGAACTATAATTCTCCGATTTCTTTTTTAGGCTTTCATCTCGGCAAATTTTCAAAACGTCTCAGAAATGTCCGCGCTCTCCACTGACCAATCGTAGACTTCGCTGGAGTCACGTGATTTTATTAAAATTTATTAAATTATTCATAAAATATTTCGTGTAAACAATTTATAATTATAACAATGAACATTTAACAATTATTTAATGAAGCCCCAACTTAAACTGAAAGCCGATTGCGAAGAAATCCTTGAAATTTAGCGTGGCTATTTTGGGCAAACAATTGAACCGCCATCTTGACCGCCATTACTATTTTGTGTTTGTTTACATAACAAATCACCCTCAAATTGATTAGGCCCCCTATTTTTTTTAATTATTCATAATTTTCTTTCATGTTAGATTTCAACTATAAAATCTTAATTAATGTAACTAACACCAGAGAGTGATACAAACATCGAAATACATGTATGTAAATTATTACAGTATACAATCCATAAATGCCTAGTATGTGAACATGGTGAATAATTATAAATGATAAGCACCTGTATTTTGTGCATCTTGGGGGCTATTATTTGTATGAAAATTCTGTAAATGTGCACTTTTTTTTACTGCTACTGCCTAACTACCGGCAGAGACCTATATACTACCAGTATATAGGTCCCTGCTACCGGTAAAAGTTAAAGCATCTCTATTTATTTCATTCTGTAATTTATTCTTCTGTATTTTACCCATTCATGTTGAGCTGAAAAATCTAATGAAATCACCGTTTTGTCATGTTTGTGGTTTCTGGAGAACTACATGTGATACACTAACAATTTCTGCAGGGTGAAGGTCATCCGGTATTAACACCGAATACTGAGGAAATCGACATCGTTTTGCATTCAAAGATAAACAAAGTCCATTTCAAAATACACCAGTAACTGGTCTAATGGATATAAATTCTCACCCTATAAAATTAATCTAAACATCCCAAACATTTTTGTAGTTACAAAATGTACGAGAGAGAGAGAGAGAGAGAGAGAGAGAGAGAGAGAGAGAGAGAGAGATAGAGATAGAGATGCAGTGATCGCGTAATGGGACCTCTACTGGACATAGAGATGTGTATATAAATTTTATTAATGATAATTTATCATAAAAAGTTGTATCTGTTACAACTAGAGGGGTTTGCTAGCAAACATGGTTTTGAAAAAAAAATGTATTTAGTTTTTAAAACGTTTTATATCTTAATAGTTTATCAGTTTATTCACATAGTTAAAACATTCATTTATCATTAAATTATTTAAGAGCAAAAGAAATTATAGAATTATACTGCAAGAATAATACAGAGAAGCATCGTAACTAAGCAGATTTGGCTGTTGGTTACATGACTTTGTGTCCACTTCACTAGGTGCATGGACTAAACCTGATCTCTCTGTGGATTACCTGTGTATTGTATGCGTTCAAGCGGAAAGTGATTTCCTGTCTCTAATTGACATATTTCACAGTATTGCAGAATTAGTTTTATAAATGCAAAAACTTGATAACATGACATGTAAAAAAAAAATAATAATAATTTAGCAAGTGCGTGTGTAGTGGGGGGGGGGGGGGGGGGGTGGGTGTTAAAGGTCAATATAATTGTATAGTGTTTATAAGACAATCCCCTATGTCTTAGAGAATGTTAATCAAAGTTACTAAGAACTGACACTCTTTAAGACAAACTAGTGCATATTTTAAGAACAGAAATGGATCTTTACCTTTTATTTTCCGTAAGAAGATTAATTGAATAAATGATAATTACATATTTGGCATTTGAGAGTAACAATGTTATCACCCCTCCCCATTTTTTCTTTCCACAACACCGCTATATATTATACTGAGGACTTGAAATAATGATGTGAAATCTGAAGTATAATGTTATTAAAAATTAAATGCACAAAATGTTGAATGATAATTCAACCCCAGCCCCCTACAACCCACCCCACCCACACCCAGCTACAAAGAACCAGTCATCTAAAAAAGTATTTAAATTCAGGCACTTTGAAAAATGACTGAGTCCAAAGTAGGTACATTTTATGCACACTGGAAAATATTTAAGTTCAACATAGGTACATTTCTGGCACACTGAAAAATGACAAAGTTCATAGTAGGTAAGATGGAAAATATCTAAGTTCAAAATAGGTACATTCTAGGCACACTGAAAAATAACAAAGTTTAAAATAGGCACATTTCAGGCACACTGTAAAATGACAAAGTCCAAATTAGGTACATTTTAGGTACACTGAAAAATGACAAAGTCTAAAGTAGGCACATTTCAGGCACACTGTAAAATGACAAAGTCCAAATTAGGTACATTTTAGGTACACTAGAAAAAAATTAAGTTCATTTTTGGTACAGAATAGGTATGCCTTTTCTGTACCTATAATAGTAGGTACACATTAGGCACAGAAAAGGCACTAAAAAGGTATGCCTATATGTACCTTTTTTTTGTATGGGCAGCCAAATATAGTATGTTTACAGTAATTTTGGCATTATAATTAAGCATATTGAAATTGCTGAAAAAGGGTATCATTATCAGTTCATTCAGCACTATTAATAGAGGAGACATTTTGCATGATGCTAAAATTACTCCTCACTAAAGTTATACCCTGATTTTTAAGGCTAAATTGCCAAATTTGTCTCTCACTAAAAATCCTACTTGTACAGCATAAAGTACTTGTTTCCATCATACCATTTATATATTCTAGCTGGTTTTACAATATAAGACATTCTTAAGGATACTAGTGCTAAGAATTAATACTATATACCATATAAGTGGAAATTTTAGCGAGACGCAAATTTATTTTTAAAAAATAGTAATTTATTTTTAGCGAGATGATATTTTAGCGATTTTAAAATGCATATTGAAGAAGCTATTACAAATAAAACGCAATTAATTTCTAGCTATATTCAATTTTAGCGATCCTGGCACCCTCGCTAATAATGCCAAAATTAAATCCTCGCTAAAAATTCTACTTATACGGTAATATTTCCTTTTCTAATTTTTTTCTCTGTGATAACTCTTTGAAAGTTACTTGAATTGATTTCTTGATATTACCATTTCGATTAGTTTTCTCTGTGATAACTCTTTGAAAGTTAGGGGTAGTTTATTTCTTGATAATTCTGCCGGAATGTAAATTAGGCAGGTCGATAGGTCGGGAGCTAAGGAGGCCTAATACTAGTATGCATGCAAATCTCGTGCGCATCTATCTCTGTGACTGACGTTAAGGAGGCCAAATATGCATGTAAATCTCGTGCGACTGCCTAGGTGTTTGACGTCATTGGTCGAGGACTATAGAAATTGGCATGGAAGTCCTCTTGTAATTTAAGTCTATGTCTACATTTTTAAAGTCTATATCTACAATTTTATTTCACAAGGAAATGGAAATATAAGGAATCACTGTCTAGTCATTTTGAGATATAATTAGTAAGTTTATGTACACTTATGTACTTGGTACATGTATATTTTAGGTTTATGAAATGGATCCATACAGTCTTAAAGTTAGCAAAGAGGTGCAAGAATACTTGGATCTGGATGATAAGACAGAACTGAAGGTGACATATGCCCCTGCTGAATCTGACACTGGCTTGATGGGTGGAAACAGTAATTGGAGAGGCCCCATCTGGCTATGTAGTAAGTCATACAAACAGAAACTTCAGGTTTGGTAGTAAGTTAGTCATTTGAGAGGCCTGTCTGGCTATACAGCAAGTCAAACAGTCACTGAAGAGGCACTGTTTGACCATGGCATGTAAATGACCAAGACAGTGGAGAAATTGTCTTTTATCCTGTGAAGTGGTTATATATAGGAACCATTTCCATTTGGCTGTCTTACATGCTGACTGTCTGTTTGTGTAATCATGTCCTGAAAAGCAGTGGAAGCTCACACCTGGTACAAAGACTGACCTGAGGATGTGTCATGAACTTGACCTAAGGTCATTTCAAGGTTATACCAGTTGAAATTGATGAGTGATCCATTACTTGAGGGAAGTGCTCATGAATACAGCAATTGAAAAGAAAACTGCAGCAATGGAATATCATTTTGTGAGCTCATCCACAGTACATGTACCTTTAAATTGACATTGAACTACATGTATAGTATAATTGATGAAAAATATACCTATTAGTATTGATACATTTTTGGATAAACCAAAGACAGAATTTGAATTGTGTCTAAACATAAGATATCTTTTCAGTGAACTTTATGATTGTGGAGATGTTGATGAAGATGGACAGTTTCTATGGAGATAAATTCAGAATGATCCACCCCTCTTTATCTGGTACTGCCATGAGACTAGGAGAAATGGCTGGGGACATCTGTAGTAGAGTGTCCAGTCTCTTCACTGTAAATAGTAAAACACAGTCTAGACCTTGTCATGGTATGTACTACATGTATAAAAGAAATAGAAACGCATAATAAACTTTTGAATAAAATTGAAACTTTTATTTCTAAAATGTTTTCCAGTATTGTTATCAAACATTTTAATTCAACTTTAAACAACAAGTAACCGAAATCTTGTGTTACTTTGACTGATAATTCCTGAGATATTGAAATTGATATGTCAATACCCCCCAAAATTAAAATAAAAATTCTTATCATCTCCCTTGCGCATCAGTAACAGCCTTGATTTTCTTGTGCATTGAGTTCATCAGAGCATTTATCTTTCTCATAGGATTATCATTCAAGTCTCCCGACGGTAGTCTTAATGGTTGAGAGTAGCTGTATTATTCCAAAGCCAACAAATCCCCTCGCCCAATGAATCCCACAAATTTTCGATTTAGGATAGAATTTACAGAATCTAGCTGATTTGGTACACGTGAATGTTTTAAGAAAGTATCGACAAACACTAGCTACATTTTCCCAATGTGAACATGCTAAAGACATTACGCATACGCGCGCGTGTGAGAGTAAAATCGATGTAAAGTTGCCAAGCTTGCGTAACAAATTAGAGCAGAGAGTTTCTTTCAGTATTAGGGTGAAAATATGAGTAGGATTGCCTACTGTAAAAATATCGGTTACAGTGATAATGACTTGGCAATAATCGAGGTAACATGATGAAAAGCCTTATCTTGATGTGACGTTGTTACGCACCAGTGTCACCCTCATGGTTGGTTAGAAACCTTTTAAATTACTCTCTGACAACCAAAAAAGTTAAAAACAAACTGCACAGCAACATGTTGTCTTTTTATTCATTTATGCAATTCAATTACTAGACCCAATGTAACTTTCGTCAGCCATACCATGATTGCAAGAAATTTATACTGACTGCAAATATCGGAAAACGATGTCTATAACTCTAATGCATCTCTTGGCACTACAAAATGTGATCACAAAATTGTCATCATCAAAATGCACGTGTATTTGGCTTTTTATCTCTTCCCCTACGTGACACCATACATTTCATGGTTGAGTAATTTTGACCAGCGATTTTAGTGCACAGTAACCAAAATGCACATCTGACCAACTTTCATAATTTTCGGCCACATAGTTAAATATTTTTTGCTATTATGCTATTAGGCGTTTCTTTTTCCTTTCAGTATAATATATTAAATATAAGGCATAATTCACTTAGGAAACTTTGGATGGAAAGAATAGATTATAAGCTTAAATATGCAAACAATAATCATTTATGATTATCACAACTCACATATTTTAGTTTCCCAGTATGAATTTAATAGATTGACTCCATATTTACATGTAATCACAATATTCAAGATCTGGCACAAAATTTGGTAATGGGCAGGGGAAAATAATAATGTTTGACTCAATTGGTATGGTTCTGGATCTATACACTTATTCAATATTTCATTTTCTGTTAACTGTCTTTTTGATATGACCCTGCACCAAAAAATACGCAAATTGAAAGTAAACAAAGTAAGGACCTCATATTCACTTTATGGCAGACAGAGCAACATACCAAAGACAAGATATGCTCACTGTTTTGAAAGACAAGGAAAAAAAATTACTTTTGAACTTTGGTATCTTGAACATCAATATCTCACATACCATGAAAATGTAGAAGTGATTTGGAAGTCCATAACACTCTTTCTTTTACCCACGATATCTTGAACTCTTGGATATGTTTTTCTCTTGATCCCATCTTGCTTGAGATAATGAGGTTTGACTGTCCTTATTTTTACAGTAAAAATTCATTGATTTACAGGGAGCTATGAGAAGTACAAACATGAAGAATCTTGGCGTGACTTGGTGTTGTTCTATGAATACTTTGACAGCGAAACAGGTAGAGGATGTGGTGCCAGGTAGGAATTAGTTTTTCTTTTTAAAATAATTTTATTCAATACTTAATTTTTGAAACATACTTGGGTTCACATCATTCCCAGTTTTGAATTTTAATGTCTGTTTCTATTTTAGCCATCAAACAGGGTGGACAGCGTTGATTGTGGAGTTTCTTGATATTCTGGTGAGTAAAAGCAATGTTTCAAGTGGGCAGTTTATTCATAGCCCTATAAAACCAAGGTCATTAGTTCATATTTTATGCAAGCATCTCCAGGTAGTGCAGATTCGAGTTCA